ATACTAATAAATTCTTTTGCATATTCAGTAGGAGGATTAGTAGTAGTTGAAGTTGTAGATGAAGGATTCTTTGGAATAGCAGGTTTACTATAAAATAAGCTAACAGAGAGGAGAAAAAGATGCTTTGGGAGGTTGTTTGGTTCAGAGTTTGTGATAAATTAGTTTGTAGGTTTCTACTGTTTTTTTGATGTTTTTTGGAGCTAACATCTTGTGTCTGTATGCTGAGTCAATAAAAATGTAAAGGTCCTTAGGACTGTTTTCACTAAAGTGAGAGTTGTTTTTTGGAGTCCTGTTTTCAGTATTGTTACTATTCAGGGTTGCTAGTGAGAGGTTTTCTGAGGTTACCACCTCTTTTAGGTCATGTTCAGTATTTAGAACAAGTTTAATTAAGGGCCCAAGATCGGTTTACTTAATAGTTATTGCTGTATTCTTACTAGAAAGTTTTTTACTTTTTGTCCAGTTTTGGTAAAATGATCTACAGAGAAGAGTTCTTTTTTATTTATTTTTTTTTTCTAACTATATATATATATTTATATAGAAAACTTTTTAGAAACAAATAAATCTTATACGTATTCACTACATATTGAAGAAACTATAACTATTTTACAAGGAATTACTAAAGGCTACTATACAGAAATTGATTTTAATATCTTAACAAGTCAAGTTTCAAAACTTTTTCCTCTTCTAACTGATATTATTAATAAGAAGATATCTAGCTTTTATTATGATCAGGCAAGACAAATAATTAACAATATGGGTCAAGTTAAAGCATTTATGCCAATGATTATGATGAATCGATTTTATGAAATTTTGGTAAATATAACTTATATTTAAGTAAAAAATTTTTTGTTTTAATTATTTATAATTTTGGTATATTTTTAGCCAGGTTATTATGGGGCAAAAGGATTATCGATTATAGCCAAATATCTTCAAGAGCATTTTATTATAAAAAAAAAATTCTTATAAAAGATCATAGCTCTCCACAAACACCAAATCAATATCTATATGATATTTTGGTACCAGAAACTGCATCACACTTAATTTTTGAAAATCAACAAAATATTTCTTTAGAAGAAGCATGAGTTATAATGGTGGAAAGTGTTGATTTCGGAATGTTAGTTTATTCTGATGAGAATGAAGAATAGTAAAACTAATGTAATAGTAAATAGCAAGTCTTTTTTATTATAATTTGGCCTATTTACATATATTTTGTAATAAAAATCAACTTTGTGTGAAGAAAATTTGAGATTTTTCTTCTTATTTTCAATTAATTGAAAAGGCTAGTTTTTCAAAAAAAAATCTATATGTAAAAATTTTTTTAATGATACACTTAGATCTTTTTAAAAATTAGTAAGCAATTTTAATATTTATGCTTTTTTTAACGAATTAATTAAATTTATTTAATGCTAACAAGTTGAATTTTTATACATTGCAGATAATTTAAAAAAATTTTTTGGCCTGTTATTATAAGGATCAAAATAGTAGACCCACGAACTACAGAAATCTTTATTAATTAAATGCAGTTTTTTTCAAATAGTTAGAGTGCCTTAAATACAAAGTGTATATGCACTTTAAATTTTTTCTTTACATGTACCTGGGTCTACTAAAGGGTTTAAAAATTGGTAGAATAAAACTGACTCAGGTCTTGTATATAAACTTTTACAGTAATATTAATTTGAATTTTTATTTATTGTAATTTACATTTTCTGTTTCTTTAATATTACTTAAACTAATTCTTTTATTTAATTATTTGCATGTTGTATAGATAAAAAGTTATTTGCCTATACCAAGATAAGCGCCATTGGTTACTGTTTAAAGCTTTCTCTAAAAATAGAATAATCACATTAAGATCCAGATGTTATTTACTACTTTTCCAATAGCTAGTTCCTGAATAAGACTGAGGTATGACTACCTTTCAATAATATATCCCAAAATATAGAATTCGGCTGTTCACAGTTACTATTCATTTTAAAAAATTAAGTATTAACTTTAGCTATTGTTATTGTAATAAAATAGAGATAAACTTGAGTTTAGAGAAACAGAACTCAAGTTGAATGGCAATTGTACTTGAATAATGCAGAGTTACTTATGATGTTAGATTATGTAGCAGATCTTATCAAATAATAGGGTAACTTAAAAAAAAGTAAGGGGTCAAATACATATGCCACATACTAAAATTTGATGGGCTTGGAGAGATTAGATGTGGATTGCTCTATGTTGAAATTAAATTATAATGAGAAAATATAGAACAATTAGAGTTGGATTATGCACAAAGCAAATTGGTTAAAATATAACATTTAATTCAAACTTAAAACCAGATGTTTATATGAAGTAACTTGTAGAACCATCATGCTGATAGATTTTTATTCTTGAAGCAGTAAGATTATTGGATACTATTTTAAATTTTATAAATAAATGTTTATACTAAAAATAGAATAAATAATATACTACTAATGATTTAAAGATTATTCCATACCTTGGTGTTGAAGTTAAATCAAGAAGTCTGCTGCATTCAAGTGGTACTATAATTGGATAACTATGGGAATTCAATGAAGACTGGTTACCAAGATAGCTTAGACAAATAAGAATGAAAGAAGATGTCTAAAGGTGATAAATTTAATTGACAATATGATTACGGATTTTGCTAAGCTCATAGGTCACAAAATACTAATGGTAAATATTGTCATGAGTGGGTTTAGCATATTAAAAAGATCTTACGGTAAATTGGCTGTTGTTTATTACACAAATTCACCAATTTGGATTTTTTTTTTTGATGATAGCATTAACTGAATCAATAAATAGTAGGATAATCCTGAACATTACTATAAGAATGAAATAAGAAGAAATAATGATTCATTCACACATAAAGACGAATGAAGCTAATATAGCCTTGGGTTCTACTATCGAAATGGAACTGGTATAGAAAAGGGTGAATATGAGGTATTCAATCAGTCAAAAACATGCGAGTATGGATTATACTATTTAAAATATGATTTTAAAAATGGTAATCGAAGTGCTGAATTGGAAACCGATTTTTTAAATCAGTTAAGGTATTGATAGTTTTGGATAAGTTTTTAAATATGAGTGTAAGTCGATACAAGTGTGAATGAAAAAAGAAAGATTTTATTAATGAAGTATTTGTTATATTGAATATTAAATTCATATAATTCATATAACTAAACTTATGAAGAGTTTGTTAACATTAGTGATATATCCCAAACTGTTTCAGCACCAAATTACAGATTCAGCAACTTTGATTAGGATTTGAGATTTTGCTGATATTTAAAAATTACAATATAATTATGTGATGAAAATTTTTTCATCAGAGGTAATGTCACATTCATATAGCAGTAAATATTATTGCTATTTTGACTTTATTACATCAAATCCCAAACTAAGTTTCAGCAATTTGGGATTCGAAACTATCGGGTTTGGGTGACACTACTAGTTACTATTCAAACATCATTATGTTCTATGGGTCACGAAAGGTAAGCATGTAATTTATAATTTTTGAGGTATCAAAATAATAATTATATTTATCAAGTCGAATATATAGATAGCGATTTTATGATTCGCTATTGAAAAAAATTTACAATGGATTGACAAACTACGTATTGCTAAGGAAATAGCACTTAGACTTTTAGATAGTAATGTGATTTTTCAAGACTTTATGCATTGCCTGATTTTATTAGTTTACTAGTACTGTGATTACTAATACTTTAATCATTTAGCATTCGAAGAGCATCTTAATAATTAAGAATAGCTGAAGATTGCAAATATGGGTAATGCTAGTAGAATGTCAGTTGTTGCAGATCGTTATTGGAATTGGGGTTAAAGAGTGGTTGAAGAGGATCAACATTTTATGCTCAAAAATCTGCCGAGATAGGTCACGCTACTGGAATAGTAAATGTTGGAAGTTATTATTCAGAGATTGGAGATGAAAAGGATGAACATAAGGCATTCACTTATTTCAAAAATCAACAGAGATGGGTAATGCTAGTGAATGATAAATGTTGCAGAATCTTATCGAAATGGAGTTGAAATAGCAAGAGATTTGAATAAAGCAAAATACTGGGTTAATAGGTAAATTTTAATTTAAACATAATTTTTCGTAAGTGTATTGTAACACATCACAATCAATTATATGATATGATCAGATGTAATTGAAACGAAAAATAAAAATTAAAATTTTAAAAAAAAGAAATTATTAGTAATCATCTGATCTGAAATTCAATTGATAGATTTATGGTCATGTTATATTTATATATACATATTTAATAAGTTCTATTATTTAAATCACCAATTAAGGAAAAGGATTTAACATCAGGTATTATTTCAAGTATTATCTTTATTGTAAACTTTATAATTTTTATAATTTATAATTGATTAATTTTATAAATAAACATTAGCAGTGAATAAGTGTGATTGGCAGCATAATCTTAAAGTTGAAGATACTATTGACAGAAAATATATATCTGTTATCATAGATTCCTTATGATGAATTTAAAATTATTAAAGAGATAGGTAAAGGTGGATTTGCAACAGTATATGCAGCTAATTGGATTGATAAAAGTCAAAATTTCTACAGAACTGTTGCACTTAAATTGCTCTATAGATCAAATAATTATCATGAAGAGTTTATAAATGAGGTAATCTTTATTAAATATTTTTTACAGATTACTGTATTTTATTCCTGATTGATTATTTGTTAATAATTTGTATTTATATCTCTTTTCTATTAATTAGTTAAAGGCATATTGTGATATCAGACTTAAAGATCTGACTTTTTTAAAATGTTTTGCAAGTTCCTACTTCAAATCCTATTTCAGTTTTTGAATCTACCGAATTGCTCTGCTCGCAAGGTGATCATGCACACCTAACAAATGGCATAATGATTGGTACATCAAAAGATAAAACTTCTTGAAATTATATTCTTGTCATGAGATATGCACCAGGAGGCAGTTTACGCCAAAACTTACACACTATTTCGCAAATGAATTGGAAAGATAAGTTAAATCTGTTACAATGTATTGCATCAGATCTTCAGATAATTCATTCTCATGATCTTATTCATCGGGATTTACATAGTGGAAATATATTACAATTTAACTTGAAAAATGCATATATTGCTGATTTAGGACTTTCAATATCAGCAAATATTATGTTAAAATCAAAATATAAGAGTTTTTGGAATTATGCCTTATATTGCTTTCAAAGTTTTAGAAGGAAATCGGTATACCACTGCTCAGATATTTATTTACTTACCATAATCATGTGGCAGTTTAATTACAGATCTTGGCTTATCCAGACCAGCTAGTGCCAAACCAGAAACAGGCAAGATCTTTGGCGTTTCACCTTACATAGCACCTAAAGTCCTGCAAGGTCAACCTTATACAAAGACATCAGATGTTTACAGCTTTGGTATTGTAGCTTATGAGCTATTAGCCAACTCCTATCATTATTATGATGAAGCTTGAGCTAATTCTGATAATGCTACATTTACCTTAAATGTATGCTGTAGAAAAAAACAACCTAACGTAGACAAAGTTCTTATATCTCAAGTGCTTAAAGACTTAATCGAACAATGGGAAATTTTATATGATAAGCCAGTAACTTATAATCAAAGATCTGGTTCAAGCCTTCAGTTACAAATACACTTAAATAATTTACAGCTAAATATTGAAGATGCAAAATCATATTATGTAGATTTTATGAAAAAATGCTAGGATAAAGAACCAAAGAACCACCCGTCTGCAGATTTTTGATCTTAACTGCTCATGAAATCTGACGTCTATAGTTTTGAAATATTCTTTGGAGCTTTTCAGAGTGCTTGCTACTGAATGTGATAGTGATTTGATTGACCAAGTGCCAACCAGAAGCAAAAGATAATAGTATAATACTCTGAGCAATTGGACTAATGATTTTGTATAGATGCATAATTCAAGATGTTGATGCAAACGAATCTATGAAGTGGTGATAGCATAAAGAACATAGTCCTGAAGAAAATGCCAGAAAAGAGTTTTGAAGTAAATGTTTATAATTGGTTAATTTTTTATTATCTTTATATATTAAACATGTAGTTGGATTAATGATTAATGTTATATAAAAAAATGATTATAGTATTTAAATGATATATATTATTAAATTTATATTTGTTATGTGATTAAATTTGATTGATTAGATATGGGTCTAGGATAAAATTAAGAGTCTTAATGTAGACCTCTTTGGGGTTTAGGTTATTAGTGTAAAACCCAGGTTTAGGATAAGATTACTCAAATTTAAAAGCTACTTCATCAATATTGGTTATATAAGTTACATGCAGCTAGACAATTAGTTCATTAAAGAAAATTAATAAATATATTTGAAAAATAATTTATAACAAAACTTAATATTTACAAAAATATATACAAAAAAATATGTATTATAATAAAAATTACTATATAATCAGCTTAAAGATCCACTACTTAAAATTTAAATTGAATACTTAGTAAAATTTAAAAAAAATATATAAACCTATAATGAATTTTTTAGCAGGATTTGATCCTATTTCTAGAATACTAAAAAATAACAAAGAACTTACTAAACTTCTTCCAGAATGTAGAACATATGAAATGCTAAATACAGTGACTCAATGTATTGAGATTCTTGTAACTATTACAAATAATGTTTATTTTTTTTTAGTGATGAACTTTTAGATACTATTAATAGTTTAAATAATGATAAATTTCAAATATTAGTTAATGAATTGGTTGCAAACATAGATGTGACAATTGATTCACTAAAAACATAGTTATAAATATGACTGCATTTACTTTTGAGTATATGTTGATTAGGAGATAATAATGAATATAAATTTGCTTTTATATATGCTAAAGATATTTTAAAAATGTTATAGAATTATAATAATTCAATAAAAATACAATATTATATTCAAGAACTTGAATATGATGTTAATTCAGAAGCTGAATTACAAGTCTTTGACTTATGCACAGTATTAAAAAATTTAGTATTCTTTAAAGAATTTATAAAATTTGCATATTCTAAATCAGAACCTATTTATCACTATCTTTTATTATATGAGTTTGTCAAATGCCATATCTATTACATTGTGGTTTACCAGCAGCAAATTGAAAGGCTTTTTAACAAATTTGATTTGAAAAGTTATCCTGATAAAACAAAAAAAGTGAAACTTATTTTATCAACAATAAATATCAAAGATACCTCTACTTTGGATATGAATTTATGTGCTACATGGAGTCAACGAAAAAATATAAACAGAAAAATAGTAGAGCAATCCAATAAATATGGAGAAAAAGTTGCTGATGAATTATTTGACAAGTTATTTAATTCAAAAAAAAATTGATTGACAATAATGCAGTAATCATATGTAATTCAGAATTTTTGAAATTTAAACTTTATTAAAATTTGATTATTAATAAATCTGAAATTAATGATCCTTATGTATTACCCTAACTAATGTTTGATTTATTAGTGAAGATAACACCCTAATGTAATGTTGGGTATTCGGTCAACTATGTTTGACAAAACTATATACAGTATCTTATAAAAATCAATTATCACAGATTTTAAATATATTATACAATAACAATAATAAAATTAATATATCGATACATATTAATATATATAAATTAATCATATAAGTTATATAATTATTTTATGAAGTTAATAAATTATTAAAGAAGTTTAATGTGACTTCTTCTCTGAATTATAATGACTGAATTTCTTGTAATGAAGTTCTTGATTGTTTTGTTCTTTGAGTTCACACTTTTTTAAGACCTGACTTCAAATCTTTATGTTCAATTTTATTTGAAGCTAAGTGAAATTTAGATTCTTTTAAAAATAAAGACATATTAACATAGGTTTTTAGGTTAAGTTTGTTAAAAAGTCCCTCAACTTGTTGTTGATGAATAATGATAAAATAGATATGAGTTTGAACAAAGTTGTAAAGTTTGGAAAATTCATATAATTTTGAATTATTAGCATAATAGAAATTTTCAAATTCTTCATAAAATTCATTATCTTGTGATAATAAAGTATATAAGCCGAAATCATTAGTATTGCCATTGTCTATATCATTCTTTAATTCATTTGTATATTTTAATTTCAAATCTGAAGATAATTTAGTTCAATCCTTTTTGAGAACCACAGATTGAAAACTTTTTGCAAATAACTGTACGTGATCTCTTCCAAGTTGACAAATTATAAGAGGTAAATGTAACCATTGGTCCATCCATTTTTTGAAGCATTCATATGCTTTATTTATTCCATTTTCTAAATTATTAAACATTTGTTCGAATTCATTACTCAACAATACATCAACAGCTTTCAATAATTTATTAGAAAAAAATATTTCAAAGTTATCTTTAATATTTTTAAGATATCCTTTCTATTCATAAACCTTATCTGGTAATTTGTGTGCTCTTCTACCATTTGATAATTGAACCAATTTATCATCTTGTAATATATGAGAAACAGGATCTTGACTAACTGAAAATTGAACTAATAGTTCATAAAAATATGTGACAAAAGTTACCAGATATTTTATTTAAATATTATGTTTCAGATTTATTATCTATGACTTAAAAAGATTTCAGTCTGAGATATGCCTTTGGTGTTTTATGATAATTTTCTAATTGTTGAACAAACCATTGCATAAATTGTTTTTAAGCTTCATAACAATTGAGATACTGTTTTGCAGTTTGTAACTCATATCCCCAATGTGATCGAAGGGGTAATTGGTATTTATTATAATAAAAACCTAACAATTTCTTATATAAATTTTTAATTACCTCACTAGTAATGTTAAAAGGCTTATCTCTATATCTTGAATTATATCTGTTGTATAAACTCCAAGCCAAATACAAAAACTTATAAAAATACAGAACTCACAAAAACCCAGTATTATTTGAAAGATTTCCAAAGACTCCTTGTTCAAAGTGATTAAGAATAATCTGCATAATATAAAGTATACAGCTGATTCTAAATGTATTCACATCAGTTTTTTTGTTAAAAAGAGTGATGGCTTCATTTTTATTCGATAACATATATGTGGTATTGTCTGTAGTCCATACTATGCATTTCATAACATTAAGGCATTCTTTTTGAATCAATTCAATAACAGAATTGGATATTGTTTTATTATTATACTTAAAAATATTTTTAAAATGTATCATTGTTACAATAGGAGATTGTTTTTGTTTGTTCCAGGCCTGATAACAAATAACTAAATTTTTTACTTCATCACAAGTAGATTCATTGACCATAATACTAAAGGCTAAAGATTATGCAATTTGAGAAATTTGTATTACAATATAAAGTTCAGTGACATCTTGATGCCAAGTATGTAAAGTTGAGGCAGATATCCAATTTTGAGGAGATTCTCCAGTTAAAAATTCATAAATAATCTTTGTACATTCAATCGTAGAATTCATCGATACTTTTTCAATTTGTGCAATACTACTTGCAAGTCATACAGTATTGGAGGAATATTCCCATTTATTTATTTTAAAAAGTGATCTGACCTTATCTTTAAATGCTATATCTGATATTGTTTGTGAATTTCAAACCAGAGAATAAATTTCTGCAATATGATGAGATTTTTGACTATATAAATTTCTTGATCAAGTACTAAATGGTTGTGTTTTTTTAATTAATTTGTCAGTTTGACAATGAAGCTTTTTATTTTTAAATACAAGCTTACTATTTGCATCTTATAAAGACTTATTTGTTGATTGGGTTTTATATAAACTGTCATTAATAAATTTATATGCTTTTTTTGAAGATATAGAGATAAAAGCTTGCTCTTATTAGGACCTTTTGAATAGTGTATAGTTTTAAGAAGATGATTTACCACAAGTATCTCTTCATTAGATAAGGTTTGTATTAAAGTGATTAGATAATTTCTCCGATATTCTTCTTTTGTTACAACATTATTAGGTAAAGATAACTCCTAATTCATAAGTTCTTTTGTTATAATATTATTAGACTAAGATAACTCCTGATCCATAAATTTACTTGTTACAATATTATTAGATGAAAATACCTCCCAACTTGTAAGTTCTTTTGTTACACCATTATCAGATGAAAATAACTTCTGATCTATAAGTTCTTTAGTTACAAATTCATTATTTAAAAATTCAAATAGTATAACAAGCTGTTCTTGATTCATATTAACTAACTGACTTGTTATTTGCTCAATAATTTTATTATAAGAAGTATTGTGATATTTCTCTAAACTTTTTTGAGCTGCTTGTCAGCTTTGATAATGCCATTTATATAACTTATAGATTTCCATTTTAGTAAATTTATTACTAAATTTAGATGTCAAGGTCCAAATTCACATTATTTTGAGGCAATCAAATTTGGTAAATTAGTAACTGACCTAAGCAAACAATGTTACGTTAAAAAATTTTATGTTCTAGTATATAATTTCTTACCTGCAATAATAATATTTCTTTTAAATAGTAAGTGATATGAAGTGAAATTTTTGTAGTAAAATAACTTGAAATTTAAGTATTAATTTCAATGTAACTTTGTTACATATGTGGTTAAGAATATATTTATGTTAAAATAATTGAAAAAGATAAAGCAGTTCGCTCTATGCACCTAAGAATACAAGAGCAATTCTTGATTATTGTAATATATATAAAAAATGATTTATAATCAGATCACTATTCTAATCATCAAATTCAATAAAAAAATCTTCAATAACTAAATTTTCTATGGTACCGCATATAGTTTTGTCAAACATAGTTGACCGAATACCCCAACGTAACGTGGAGGTTTGATGTGTTCATTAATATAGATTATACAGTGTAGCAGGCATCAAAAACGTAAATTTAAAGGATGCTTTGCATCTTTAATATATAGTATAAGATTATAAGCACGATTAACCATGAGATCTTCATAGCCAGTGTGTGACTTGATGATCTCACGGTTACTCGTTGATGACCTGTTCCGGGTCTAACTAACCGATAATCACAATCAACAAATATCGATACGTATTATTATCATAATAATCCTTAAATAGCAAAACATGATAACCATAACACTTTCTAAAATAGGAAAAAATATAACACACCAAAAAGTTGAGCGAAACCATCCATCTCATATTTCATATGATCGATTGATATTTCTAATTTTATAATTATCTCTCTTTCACTTTGGTAGTTCCGCCAACTTTATTAAGCTTATTGTAGCACTAAAGTTTACAAATTTTTACTTAATTCTAAGCTCAAGCCTATCCAAGAACAAATATGCAGCACCGGTTCTGCCATTGAATAAACCAACTTAAGATCTGGAGAGTCTTATCGTTTTATTAATTTTATTATTTTTGTTAATTTTGTTATCTTTTAAATTTTTAACCCAAAACAAAATGATAAAACTTTTAAATTTTGTCCAATAACTAGTTATTTGTTCATTGTCATCATCGAATGGGAGAGTCTCCGACAATTATGCCGATTTAGCTCAGATAGTTGATGTAAGAGAGATGTGGAACCTGATGATAAATTAGAGAACTCAGATTTTATATGATTCATAGGTATTTATTATATGAAGAATGTATGTTTTATGCATTCTTTGTTTAGAGACGATTTCAGAGAGCGTACATTAGATCATGAAGCAACCCTTTAAATACATTCTAATTTCTTGCTTCGCTATGCCAAGATTATAGTGTCATGCCACTAGTTCTGATACATGCTTTTCCCAGGTATCACATTTATACAACCACGTATACTGCCTAGGGAAAATTTACATGGGTTAAGCCATTAAGAATACATAATAATGCCTAATAATATAAAGGTAAGATTAAAGTTGTTATGGCGATACAAAGATAGGTGTATGACTAGTGATACGGCTGGCCCAAAAAATATCGGCCGGAATTTTCGGAATGGAGATAATAAAATTCGATTTTTAAGTATACGCAGAAAAAAAGATTGAATAGAATCTGAATATCACATGATCCATGTCTAAAGGATGAGAAGAATTAAATGTTATTTAGAATCATCCGAGAATCGTTCACTAAAAGTCGACTCCCTGCTGTCAGCCCAGGCCGGCCATGACACGAGATTTTTTCATTGGCTCGTATCACTATGTATGACAAAGCAAATATGGAAATAAAGTTCATAGACCAAAATTATCCATTACAACATGCTTAAGAACACAAGTCTCTTTAGTATTTCATAAAAAATTAAATAAATAAAAAAAATTATACAGATTGATAAGAGCATAAAATCTGGTAGTGGTTATTCTAAGCTATGTTATGAAAAAGTAAATTTCTTAAATTCAGGATCCTGCTCCAAGATTTTCAATTTTTCCGTTTGTAAACTAAAGTAAACTTCTATTCCATCATCGGCCTCAGTACTTTGTACTATATAAAACCCATTAAGTACAAATTCTCGATTGCGTCTCTGTTTTGTAGGAGTTCCATCACCAAAATCTATTAAATTATACTTTTGAAATTTTGACACATTAGTTATTCCAAAATTTTCGCCATTGTACACAATACTTGTAGTAATCAATGATTTATCTGGTTGTTGTTCAATCCAATCAATTATGGATCGCATACGACTATCATTCATATTTGTAAT